ACTATACGTAGAACTAGAATCATTCGGGTTTAGCCGTCTTTAGAGACGTGCGGCTAAACCCAAATGATTCTAGTTCTAGGTATACTGTTAGTTCTATATAATAACAGTGTTAGTGTAAAACTAGAACTAACACTAGACCTAAATCTAGAAACATTCGGATATAGCCGCACGTCTATCAAGACGACTATACTCGAATGATTCTAGTTCTAGGTCTTGTGTTCTAGTGATAGTGCTAGTGCAAAACTAGAACTAACACTATACCCAGAACCAGAATCATTCGGGTTTAGCCATCTTTAGAGACGTGCGGCTAAACCCAAATGATTCAAGTTCTAGGTATACTGGTAGTTCTATATAATAACAGTGTTAGCCGCACGTCTCTAAATACGGCTAAACCCGAATGATTCTAGTTCTAGGTATACTGTTAGTTCTATATAATAACAGTGTTAATGTAAAACTAGAACTAACACTAGACCTAGATCTAGAAACATTCGGATATAGTCGTCACGACTAAACCCGCATGATTCTAGTTCTAGGTCTTGTGTTCTAGTGATAGTGCTAGTGCAAAACTAGAACTAACACTAGACCTAGATCTAGAAATATTCGGATATAGCCGCACGTCTGTCAAGACGACTAAACCCGAATAAATCTAGTTCTAGGTCTTGTGTTCTAGTGTTAGTTCTAGTTTTAATTGTTATTCAGCGTTAGAAATTTTAATTCAATAAAAATATACAACACAGTGATATCTAATGCTAACTAGCGCTATCTAGCACTGTCACTAAAACTAACATTAGACCTAGAACTAGAAACATTCAGATTTGCCGTCCTAAGAGACGCACGGCTAAACCCGATACTTTCTAGTTCTAGGTCTAGTGTTAGTTCTAGTTTTAATTGTTATGCAGCGCTAGACCAAGTACTAGAATCATTCGAGTTTAGCCATCTTAATAGACGTAGGGCTAAACCCAAATGTTTCTAGTTCTAGATCTAATGTTAGTTCCAGTGACAGTGCAAGTGTAAAACTAGAACTAACACTATACCTAGAACTAGAATCATTGGGGTTTAGCCGTCTTTAGAGACGTGCGGCTAAACCCAAATGATTCTAGTTCTAGGTATAGCGTTAATTCCATATAATAACAGTGTTAGTATAAAACTAGAACTAACACTAGACCTAGAACTAGAAAGTTTCGGGTTCAGCCGTGCGTCTTAATTGTTATTCAGCGTTAGAAGTTTTAATTCAATAAAAATATACAACACAGTGATATCTAATGCTATCTAGCGCTATCTAGCACTGGCACTAGAACTAACATTAAACCTAGAACTAGAAACATTCAGGTTTGCCGTCCTAAGAGATTGTAGCTCTAGTGTTAGTTTTAGTGCTAGTATTAGTCTAGCTTTATTTCTTATTCAGCACTAGATTATTGTATTTTTTTATTGAGCTATAACTAACACTGCCTTCCCCGTATTAATCCGTTATATCGAGGTTTTAGTTTAATGTCAAATTATATTGATATGTTGCATTTTATGTGGGATAAAGTAAATAGGTATTCCCTGTATAGAATTCATTAGATCCTGCATACTAAATTTTATACTGCCTCTTAAAAATAGACGATGTTCTATTTCCATTCTATTATTTTCTTATAATGATAATCCAATCTTATCTTATCACAAGTTTGCTGTCTTACCACTACTTTGGAATGACCTTGGATAAAAGCCACTAATTCTTAGACAACAGCATGAAAGCGGCGCTATATTTCCGATCTCGATTTTTAAATTTTCGACCGCAGCTTTGTTATGTTCTAACTCGTAAATACCCTCAATTCGAAATTCAAGAATTTTTACCAACGAAATGAAAAGATTAACATTTTAGCTTTATAACTTTCATTTAGAAAAATGTTTGAGGTTAATGACACAAAAAAATCACAATTAAAGTGGATTTATGCAGTTTACATAAAGTGCAAATGTAATATTTTGGAGTATAATACAGTTGTGAGTTGTAGCTTCCTCAAATGTTTAAGTAACATTTATGTGGCACTCAGAATAACTACTATTGGCGCAGATTCTTGACTCTATTATTTAGGTGTGATTACCACAATAACTTCTTTTCTAGAATAACATTCCGATATTTGACTTCTTTTTTTTGCATCTACTTAAAAAAAGTTTGTTTTTTTTCTGTCAAATAAGATCCCCACAGATTTAATTCTATTTTACGTCTGAGTTTGAGCTATTTGATATGACATAAACTCGGGTGTCTTTCTGATGAAAATACTTCAAAAGTGTTGTTATTTTGGGATCAGTTGGTGATACATCTTTTAATTAACAATACTTTTTATGTAAAGTACTCCGAAGAAGTCAAAAACTAACTCAAAACTGCAATTTGTGAAGATATCCTGAATTTTGGGGAATTTTAGTGTTTATTATCACAAAATCGTTATTATCTTAAGAATTGTTGAAGATACAGCTTTTAATAACATGTTTTTTATGTAAAATATTTCAAAGAGTTCAAAAATGGTTTCAAAATTACGTTTAAGTTAAAAATCGAAGATGTTAGCAATTGTAGAATGATGACAACCTCAATTTTAATTTTTTTGTACCAAAAAATTCATCGTGTTGTGGGAGCAGTTGGTGGTATAACTTTCAACTATGAATAAGTTTAGGCACAAAATACTTGCAAGAATTCAGAAATGTAAACAAAATTTTAATTTATTTAGTGGCGTGCATGCTGCAGGGCATAGAATAATAATACCTTGAATTTTGTGTGTTTTAAGTGTTTATTAACACAAAATTGTTTTTATCTTGTGACCGGTTGGAGATACAACTTTTAATAAAGAGCACCTTTTTTATGTAAAATATTTCAAAGAATTCAAAAATGATCTCAAAATTTCCTTTAAATTGACATCGAAGCTAGATTTCAGAACGATATCTTCAATTTTGAGTGCTTTTTACCAAAAAGATCTTTTAATTAATAATACTTTTTGTGACGTAAAACATCGAACAATTTAAAAATGTACTCAAAATTATATTGGATTGTTTGGACAGTAATTTTTTTTTTCATGGAAATGAAAGACTATTTTATTGAATCTATCTTAGTCGATATCTTTTGCCATCCTTCTGGCAGTGGTATGATTTTTGGACAAATTTTAGAACAAATAATTATCAAAAGGTCCCAAATCAAATAAAAACCTTTTCTTTTTAAGCGAATCATTCAATTTGTCCACCCGATGACACTACATTTCAAAATTGATCATTGTGTTATTAGATGAAATCTCACCAAACAGATAGCATTATCTTTTTTTCTTTTTCATCTATGAGCCAATTCAAAATTTTTCTCCAGGATCTTTACGTTTAACATTGTTTGTAGACAACCCATTTGGAAACAGGAAAATTGCATATTTAGGTTATGTTACTACTTTTTAAAAATCGCAGAACTTTCAATAAAATTTCCTGTCTATATTTCTAGGTGTAAAGCGATGATTTATATCTTAAATTGAAGCTAAAAGATTCTATTTTATGATGAACTAAAAAAATTGTTAGGTTTATTAACAAAAAGTACAAGAAAAAAAATTTTGAAAAAAAATTGACAGATGAGGTTATTAAAAAAAACTACAAACTTTAAAAAATCATTCCAACTTTATTTTGAAGGGTAACGCAACGATTTATGTCTTAAATTAAAGTTTAAATGTTCTATTTTATGATCGAAATATAAAATGAACAAGTTCGTAAGAAAAATTTCTGAGAAAAAAAGTCTTAAAAGGAAAATTGCATATTTAGGTTATGTTGCTACTTTTTAAAAATCGCAGAAATTTCAATAAAATTTCCTGTCTGTATTTTTAGGTGTACAGCGATGACTTATATCTTAAATTGAAACTAAAAGATTCTATTTTATGATGAACTAAAAAAATTGTTAGGTTTATTAACAAAAAGTACAAGAAAAAAAATTTTTAAAAAAAATTGACAGATGAGGTTATTAAAAAAAACTACAAACTTTAAAAAATCATTCCAACTTTATTTTGAAGGGTAACGCAACGATTTATGTCTTAAATTAAAGTTTAAATGTTCTATTTTATGATCGAAATATAAAATGAACAAGTTCGTAAGAAAAATTTCTGAGAAAAAAAGTCTTAAAAGGAAAATTGCATATTTAGGTTATGTTAGTACTTTTTAAAAATCGCAGAAATTTCAATAAAATTTCCTGCCTGTATTTGGGTTGGGCCGGCGACAGATTTCAGAATGATATCTTCAATTTTGTGTGCTTTTTACCAAAAAAATCTTTTAATTAACAATACTTTTTGTGACGTAAAACATCGAACAATTTAAAAATGTACTCAAAATTATATTGGATTATTTGGAGAGTAATTTCTTTTTTTTTCATAAAAATGAAATACAATTTTATTGAATCCATTCTAGTCGATACCTATTTACTATTTTTGTGGCAGTGGTATGATTCTGCTCATAAATTTTTTGTTCTTTACTGGAAAAACGCTGATCCAGATGATTTTTGGACAAATTTTAGAACAAATAATTATCAAAAGGTCCCAAATCAAATCAAAACCTTTTCTTTTTAAGCGAATCATTCAATTTGTCCACCCGATGACACTACATTTCAAAATTGATCGTTGTGTTATTAGATGAAATCCCACCAAACAGATAGCATTATCTTTTTTTTTTTTTCATCTTTGAGCCAATTCAAAATTTTTCTCCAGGATCTTTACGTTTAACATTGTTTGTAGACAACCCATTTCTCACCCCTAGTGATGATGCTCTTCAAAAACGGACCATTTTCTTTACTTTTGAGAAGATAATCAACGCGTCGGCACAAATTTCTTTCCATAAAAGCATGATCGGTCGAATTCGATAAATTTAATCTCTCGATTTGCATCAATTCACGCCTTTATTGTGTCTTCATCAACTTCAACTAGCGAGAACGTGGTGCATTTTCAACATCGAAGATTCCAGATGAAAATTTTTCAAATCTATCAACACAAAGTAACAACAAAGTAAATCATCAGCTGTCAAAATATGTGATGCGGCCTAAGTATGATGTTAGCTGTAAAGAAATACAATTTAGTGGTTTGATGGGAGAAACAAAATTACTTTCCTAACAACGTAATGAGTTTCTTAAAAATATTTTTGTAAAATAGCAGATTATTTGATTAGATACTTATTGTGGTTACTGAGTAAGTTTTGTAAATTTGATTTTTTTTGCCAAGTTGCAAATTTCTCATGTTAAACCTTTTAATGTTTACATTTACGATATATTCAAGGTTCTTTATTATGTAAACATGACCACATCAAAGTGACGGTTGCGACAATTTAATCTTTAAAAAAAGCTATTTTCGGGAAAGCTCATATCGAATTCGCAAAGTTAACACTTATTCTTGGATAATATCCAAAAAAAAATGCAATTTGTTTGTTTTTCTGGTCGTTTTAAACAATTTGGAAACCTTTTGATCAAGGTTTAAGTAATATTCTTTTTGGTAATAAAATTGACTTGGTTGTCGATTTTCTTTGTTATATTTGGAAATAACGGTCTGGGGAAACGAGGAAATGACCGCCACGCCGGTAGGTTCGTCTTGCGGCGACCCTTTGGAGCGGACACGTGCACTTGGGGCGTTTGAAAATTTTCGTGTCGGCAATTAAAACGAAAGTCTGTGTGTTTTGGCTCCGGTGGCGGTCGCAGGCGCTCGCGGCCACCCACAATCACGCCTGGCGACGACGTCCGTCGACGTTGGCGGACGTTGTCGTCCTTTGCCTCCTCTGCCATTAACCTCATCCTCGTTTTCCTCCTTCTTTCGGTTCGACTAAATGGTATGTCATCAACGTTCGTCCCCGTGTGTATTAATGCCAGGACGGTGTCTTAAGTTTCCTTACAATAACATATTAGCTGACGTGACAACGACAGGAACACATTTCAATTTTTTTTCTTCTTTTTTTTTGTTGCGCAGAGTTATGCAAGAATTTGAACTAAAGGGTTTATCAATGGAATGAAAACGTGTGAATTATTATGATTCAAACAGCGAAAACTAAACAATAACAAGCACAGAGATTCCGTGTAGTAAACGGAAAATTGGAAAACGTAAAATTTGTTATAACACTCGATATAAACGTTTACGCATTTTTTTCTTCTTCTCGTAAATAAATAAGCGCCCGCGCGCACAAGTTTCCAATTATTTTGTTTATCGATCGTAATATAAATTATTATTATTAAAGTGATGGGCCACCGAATGAGAGCTGGAGATAGTTTCGTATTCAGTTTCGTTGGGATAGGGTTTTTTGTAGAAATCAACAAACACAGACTTCTACTATTGTAAATATTTAAAAACGAATCAAATCAAATATTTAATTAATACTTTTTCATCTCAACGCTTAAATTTAGTTTCCTTTCAATTTATTTTTTTTGTAGTTATGAGAACTTCAGGGGGTACAATGCAGCCGGTTCAGTGTGACAGAAAACCCTACCTCAGCACAACACCGCCATCAATTCCGACTTCGATACCGTCACCACCAGCAGCAAACACAGCACAATATTACGAGCAACACATCAACATCAAATACACAATTTAGATTGTGGTGTTGATTCTTAACTTTTCACTAGTTAAAGATAATGAGAACTTTAATAAATTAATTTTTAAAAATATCAACCATTTTTACAATTTGGCTTTGTTGCTTCTATATTTTGCACTCTCAAAGTATCTTTTGTAAGTTCTCGGCGAATCCTTGCGATGTATATAGCGTATTTATTTTATGTCAAGATTTTTTTTTGTTGTAAATATGTTTTAACACTTTTTTTTATAGATATACAGCTGTACTACCAAAAAGATAAAAAAAATTGTATAAAGTTGTGCGCGATTATTAGCTATACTTATTATAAATAAAGACGATTTGTAATAAAAAAATAGGTATTTTATTTTAATAACAAAACCACGATACTTAACTAACCAAGATTATCAATGTCTTTGTGTCTATATTTGTAAGTATGCATCGATGATTTATTTGTTAAATTATAGCTAAAAGACTCTATTTTATGAAAAACTATAAAAAACTATAGGGGTTGTTAATAAAAAATGTGAGAAAACAATTCTGAATAGAAAACTGACAGATGCGGTTATTAACGTATTTATAAAAAAAAGTAAGTATAAACTTTAATAAATCATTTTATCCTTACTTTGAAGCGCAACGTAATGATTTATGTCTTAAATTATAAAATGAACAAGTTCGTAAGGAAAATTTCTGAGAAAAAGGTCTTGAAAGGAAAGTTGCTATTTAGGTTATGTTGGTACTTGTTAAAAATTTCAAGAAAACTGTTTTTCTAGGTGTAAAGCGATGATTTATATCTTAAATTGAAGCTAAAAGATTCTATTTTATGATGAACTAAAAAAATTGTGGGGTTTATTAACAAAAACTACAAGAAAAAAATTTGAAATGAGGTCATTTACGTATTTATTGAAAATACTATAAATTTTAAAAAATCAGTCTAACTTTATTTTGAAGCGTAACGCAACGATTTATGTCTTAAATTAAAGTTTAAATGCTCTATTTTATGATCGAAATATAAAATGAACAAGTTCGTACGAAAAATGTCTGATTAAAAAAATTTTAAAAGGAAAATTGCATATTTAGGTTATGTTAGTACTTTTTAAAAATCGCAGATATTTCAATAAAATTTCCTGTCTGTATTTCTAGATGTAAGGCGATGATTTATATTTTAAATTGAAGCTAAAAGATTCTATTTTATGATGAACTAAAAAAAATTGTGGGGTTTATTAACAAAAAGTACAAGAAAAGAAGTACTGAACACAAAGTTGACAGATGCGGTTATTTACGTATTTATAAAAAAGTACAAACTTTAAAAAGTTATTTCAACCTTACTTTGAAGCGCAACGCAATGCTTTATGTCTTAAATTAAAGTTTAAATGTTCTATTTTATGATCGAGTTATAAAATAAAGAAGTTCGTAAGAAAAATTTCTGAGAAAAAAGTCTTAAAAGGAAAATTGCATATTTAGGTTATGTTGGTACTTGTCAAAAATCAAAAAAATTTCAATAAAATTTCCTGTCTGTATTTTTAGGTGTAAAGCGATGATTTATATCTTAAATTGAAGCTAAAAGATTCTATTTTATGATGAACTAAAAAAATTGTGGGCTTTATTAACAAAAAGTACAAGAAAAAAATTCTGAACAAAAAGTTGACAGATGATGTTATTTATGTATTTATTGATAGAACTACAAACTTTACAAAATCATTCTAACTTTATTTTGAAGGTTAACGCAACGATTTATGTCTTAAATTAAAGTTTAAATGTTCTATTTTATGATCAAATTATAAAATGAACAAGTTCGTAAGAAAAATTTCTGAGAAAAAAGTCTTAAAAGGAAAATTGCATATTTAGGTTATGTTGGTACTTGTCAAAAATCGAAAAAATTTCAATAAAATTTCCTGTCTGTATTTTTAGGTGTAAAGCGATGATACTTATATCTCAAATTGAAGCTAAAAGATTCTATTTTATGATGAACTAAAAAAAATTGTTAGGTTTATTAACAAAAAGTACAAGAAAAAAAATTTGGAAAAAAAATTGACAGATGAGGTTATTAAAAAAAACTACAAACTTTAAAAAATCATTCCAACTTTATCTTGAAGGGTAACGCAACAATTTATGTCTTAAATTAAAGTTTAAATGTTCTATTTTATGATCGAGTTATAAAATGAATAAGTTCGTAAGAAAAATTTCTGAGAAAAAAGTCTTAAAAGGAAAATTGCATATTTAGGTTATGTTGGTACTTGTCAAAAATCGAAAAAATTTCAATAAAATTTCCTGTCTATATTTCTAGGTGTAAAGCGATGATTTATATCTTATATTGAACCTAAAAGATTCTATTTTATGATGAACTAAAAAAATTGTTAGGTTTATTAACAAAAAGTACAAGAAAAAAAATTTTGAAAAAAAATTGACAGATGAGGTTATTAAAAAAAACTACAAACTTTAAAAAATCATTCCAACTTTATTTTGAAGGGTAACGCAACGATTTATGTCTTAAATTAAAGTTTAAATGTTCTATTTTATGATCGAGTTATAAAATGAAGAAGTTCGTAAGAAAAATTTCTGAGAAAAAAGTCTTAAAAGGAAAATTGCATATTTAGGTTATGTTGCTACTTTTTAAAAATCGCAGAAATTTCAATAAAATTTCCTGCCTGTATTTCTAGGTGTAAAGTGATGATTTATATCTTATATTGAAGCTAGAAGATTCTATTTTATGATGAACTGAAAAAATTGTTAGGTTTATTAACACAAAGTACAAGAAAAAAAATTTAAAAAAAAAATTGACAGATGAGGTTATTAAAAAAAATTACAAACTTTAAAAAATCATTTCAACTTTATTTTGAAGGGTAACGCAACGATTTATGTCTTAAATTAAAGTTTAAATGTTCTATTTTATGATCAAATTATAAAATGAACAAGTCGTAAGAAAAATTTCTGAGAAAAAAGTCTTAAAAGGAAAATTGCATATTTAGGTTATGTTGTTATTTGTCAAAAATCGAAAAAATTTCAATAAAATTTCCTGCCTGTATTTTTAGGTGTAAAGCGATGACTTATACCTTAAATTGAAGCTAAAAGATTCTATTTTATGATAAACTAAAAACATGGTGGGGTTTATTAACAAAAAGTACAAGAAAAAACATTTTTAAAAAAAATTGACGGGTAGGTTATTTACATATTTATTAAAAAAACTACAAACTTTAAAAAATCATTCCAACTTTATTTTGAAGCGTAACACAACGATTTATGTCTTAAATTAAAGTTAAAATGTTCTATTTTATGATCGAGTTATAAAATGAACAAGTTCGTAAGAAAAATTTCTGAGCAAAAAAGCCTTAAAAGGAAAAGTTCCTGCTTGTATTTCTAGGTGTAAAGCGATGATTTATATCTTAAATTAAAGTTAACATGTTCAAATTTATGTTCGAATTTTAAAATAAACAGCTTCGTAAGAAAAATTCCTGGAAAAAACATTTTGAATGCAAAATTGCATATTTAGGTTATGTTGGAACGTGTTAAAAACATTTTGGCTCTATTATATGATAAAATACAAAAATGGTTGCGATTGATAACAAAAAAATGCCAGAAAAAAATTTAAAATATTTCAAAATTTAATTAATTTGCATTTAGTAAAGTTAAAATAACGTGGGTGGTTCATTTGCTATAAAATATACATCGACCCGAATTTATTCAGATCCAAATACGTAAATTACTCGACACTTGCAACTTTAACCTGAAACTATCGTGAATTGTTTACGTTATCCGTTCCCTGTCGATGGCTATTAATTAGATCTATTAGGTACCTAAACGACGGTGCCAGACGCCGTTTTAAAGCGAAGAATAGAGCTGCTCGCGTAAAACTAACGACCCGTACCAAAAATACCCGCGAACGAATCCCGCGTGAATAAAGATCCACATGTTTTCAGGATGAAAAAAAAAAATGGGGAGAAAATGTGAAATGACGCGGCATCACGTCGCCTTTAGTTTTCTGTTTATTTATTGTGATCATTTCATAATACGCGTTAAACTACGACGGATTCCGCTTAAACCCAATCCTAATACTTATCAAAAACCGGCGTGATTCAACAAATACAATATAAAATGCGGTTTGGTTTTATGGTTATTTTCTATCTCGACCACAATCGCAATCAGATTTTGTTTTACAAACAGAATTTGATTATCAACTTTAAGTTTTAAGTCACGTATACGAAGTTTTCATAATGACATCATTAAATATGTAATAAAATGATTCATAAAATAATGAAGTGGAATTTTAATTTACAGAACAATTGGAACAAGATTTAAATAATAATGTAATATTAAGATCTTTCACGTAACGAGCGATTTAGTCAGGTGCTCAAAACGTTTAACTATGCTGGCGATTTTTAACGAACAAATACTTGAATCTAGGTTTTAGGACTCCCAATGACTCCAAGCAAAATAGATTATCTTAATTTGACTAGGCGCCATTTTGCCAATAATCTTTTTTTTTGCTTAGTTCTAGTTCAAATGATAATCACAACTATATAGAAAAGAACATCATTTGATTTTGGAGTTTCTCTTTTTGGAGTTTTCAACTTACAATTAGACAATCCACACACCAACTTGGTTGAGGGACAATGTAAAGATTATTTTCTATAAACAATTCTTTTTAAATAAGTAAATATATCATGAAAACATATGCAAAAGATTAAATTGAAATACCACATAATTTGGCTGCAAAAGGTTCCCAAAGAAATCATTTTATTTGATACAAAAAAAGAGACTCCCCCTTTAAAAAGCTTGAATTAGATTATACTAGTATTATTTGGAGGGGTTTACACTCAATTTCAAATAATTTCATGTTTTGACAATGTTAATAATTAAACTTTTATAATTTTTCAAGCACAAAATGCAAATATTTATTGAATGGTACCGTTTTTCAAGCACAAATCCAACGAGTAGCGTCAAACGGTTTTTATCTGGCAACATTACACAAAATTGAAAACGACTCTCCGAATGGATGCTGTTTCCCTTGAATTTTACTTTGAAGCTTAGCTGGAAACAAAAGATAAATTAGTTTATTGTGACCAGTGTTGTTAAATATCAGGGTATTTATTTTCAAGGGAAAATTCCCTGGATATATACCCAGAGGTATTTACCCAAGATGGGTATTTAGAGGTATTTATAAAATTTGATTTAAATTGAGTTGATGGCAGGTTTGCAAGTACTTCAAGAATGCAGAGTCCATTATCGATACACCAAACTTATTTATTACATTTAAAGGATTCCTACAATGACGGTAAAATTGCATGAAAGTACTGACCGAATACTCATTGGGCGTGGGGTAAGACAAGGCAATATTATGTTGAACCCAAATTGTTCATCACAGTCCTGGAGAGTGCATTTAAACAACTGGATTGGACCCAAAAAGGTATAAACATTGATGGCAATACCTAAGTAATTTGCGCTACGCGGACGATATAGTCCTTATTNCAACTTCAAACAAATTATTCGTAATGCCGTGCTCGCCCTACCAGTTGTGTGATTTTATGTACATTATCTCGTTGCAGCGGCTTGAGTTCTGCCTTGAATTGATTTGATCACATATGCTTAAGGCCATTATCAATTGATCGATTGTCAATTTTGTGTTCATACAATTTATTGTATACAAAATGTATTATAGTGGAGTAGCTTTTATGTGGGACTGTGTCCTGTTGCTACCCCCGTGTGTGTAAAATAAATAAAATAAATAAATAAATAAAAAGATTAAATTGAACTACCACATAATTTGGCAGCAAAAGATTCCCAAAGAAATCATTTTATTTGATACAAAAAAAGAGACTCCCCCCTTTAAAAAGCTTGAATTAGATTATACTAGTATATTATTTGGAGGGGTTTACACTCAATTTCAAATAAAATCATGTTTTGACAATGTTAATAATTAAACTTTTATAATTTTTCAAGCACAAAATTTAAAAATTTATTGAATGGTATCTACCGTTTTTCAAGCACAAATCCAACGAGTAGCGTTCAAACGGTTTTTATCTGGCAACATTACACATACGTTTTCTTCTTCTTCTACGATACCTTTTAACAGCTCAACTATATCACATCACTAATATCACCTAACACTTGGCATAAATATAGCACGTATTTATCACTTAATTCAGGTAATAAGTTTTATTTTTCTAAACTACTTTATCACCCTTAAATGCCCGCACATCAACTAAAATGCGTTATTAGCGAATCAACTTTCAAACATCCCCTCCTTAATTTATTGTGTGAAGAAGGAATACTGGAGGTGAATAAACAAAAAATGTAAAGACGACGGGGCGAAGCGGTTTTAAATCGTTTTTTGGTTTTAAAATTCAACCTTTCAATAAAAAAATTACTCGTTTTCTCGAAACATTTAATATAAAACTTATATCATTTTACTAAAATAACACGCACTAATCGAATTTCAATGTTTAACACTTCCTGGGAAAGAATCAGGTGCTCAACAAATAATTAAAACGAAGCAGCCAAGACGTTGGATTATGCATCATCCCTTATTTTTTGTGTCATAAAATATAAATTTAAAAAAATCATATCTCAAGAACAAATTGAAATATCATCATGAAGTAAAGAACATTTTAAAGCAAATTAAATGAAGATTTAATGCGCTATATATAATTTCTTATTTTCTATAAACATCGTTGTTATGATAACCTTAATGGGATACCTGGTACAGCTAAAAATATAAAATTTGAAAAAAAAACTAGAAAAGTAGTAATAACAACAACAAATTATATTAAAGGTAGAAATACTAAAACCAAAAATGAAAAAGATTTTCTGTTTTAGTACAAATACATTTAAATCAGTCTAATACTTTGTTCGTTTGTTTACATAATAAAGTATGTAAACAAAAGTCACCGGAGTCGTTTAAACAATCGTACATAGTTAATTAGCAAATTTAAAGATCGGGCATTTCCATTTTCGCATTCACCGTGGATCATACTTTCGATGGAGATGTTGACGACTAAAATTGGTCAATTAATAAAGGAAATAATTAACTTATTTGATGAAGTAGTTTTTTCTGGTCCAATCAAAGTCCTTAAATATTTCGAATCGGGCATTTCGATACAATTATTCAGCCAGATGCAAGCTTTCGTTTGAGATATAAAACATTAAAATCCGTCAACTGTTCTCCAATTATAATCAATTCAATACAAATTAATTTTTTCTTATTGGGGGCTAAATTTTTGGTCAATACTTGCATAAACAACGAGCCGAACACGATGTCATTCCGAGGGCTGTACAAAGGTTAACGGAAGATAATTGAGATCGGGCATTTTGGGATTTCGATAGAAGAAAGTATGGCGAATCGAATGACCTATATATCTTGATAGTGGAGTACATCGTTTACGAATTATGACCATTTAAAGAAAGTCATTTTTATGATATTTTCGTGTACCTCCGCAATATTTTGGCGTTTTAGCGGAATTCGAAAGAGATTTCGAATCGGGCTTTTCCATATTCGTATTGGCCAAGGATTAACCTTTCGAATGAGACAATGACTATCGAAATCGGTTGAATGGTTCTCTTGTTATAATCAAAATACTATACATGTAAAATCCTATCTAATTGGGGGCTAACTTCGCATAGGTAGAAAGCAGGGCATACTTACTTACTGCTTGCGTGAAGAACTGTGCCAGCTCTTGCATTAATTGCATCAGCATCTCATTAAGCATACTGTCGAACGGCTTTGTAACTTCGCTTGTCTCATATCTTTCCCCTAATCTCTTTCTTAGTACCTATTGTTGTGATACTTCATCCCTTATATTGTCATCAGGAAACAGAGTGTCCAAAATCGCAGTTACTGCCTCTTTGCAACTCATTGTAAAGGTCCCATCGTTTTCTCTCAACCTGGAGATTGCTTTTTTGCAGCAATAGCTTAAGTCTTGTACTCTTCCTTTGACCTTCTGTAATTCAGTCCCAGTGTGGATCTCAATCTCACCACTTCTAAGGCATAGCCTTAGGCTAACTTTATTAGGACTCCTCTTTTTGTGCTAGGAAAATCGCTTGACATAAAGTTCCAGCGTTTTAGACTAGACCTAGCTGATCAACAAGTCGATAAATCTGTCGCTAGAGTCGATAGCAGAACCCAACTCAACCCACCACATAAACGTTTCTACAACATAGCATTCTTTACCCACAAAGCACAGGATCGAATATTTATAATCAAGTTCTTTGGGCCAGTAGGGTGACTTGAGTTAGAAGGAGTATGCCACAATGTACATATCCTCTACGGTCTTATTAGAACTTCGTTTTGTAGCATAGAATGATTGATGAAAGAATTGAAGAACAGATTGAAATCTATGTGTATATCAGCAAGATTTACAACAAAAGTTGACCTCAATTTTTGGATGCGCCACAACAAAATTACTTTGAAAACCTCAAAAAAATGTAATGTAAGTAACTCTTTAAAACCCCTTTTTGAATACAAAAATCAAAAGAAAAAATAGACATAAGTCTTATAGTTTACGGCCGTAAATTCCGAACAAATCGCTTCTAAATCACTCAAAGTGCACCTTAAGCCTCAAAAGAATTTATAACGGAGGGTCACAGAGGTTCTTGTTTTCCTCTTGAGTTGAAAGAGGTTGGGTATTAAAATTGAGTGGGTCATTAGTCATTTAAAAAATCAAAACTGCTATTATTTACGAAAATATCAAAAATATATCGATATTAGCATATCAATAAAGCAAAAGGGTTTATCTAAAAATTAAGAAAGTATTTGCCATCTGAAGACAACCACATGTCACCTTCGACTCTTCAACTAACACAGTAGCTATTAATCTTCTAGATAAAAAAAAATGTTTACTACAATGCTCCTTGAAGTGTTTCATCTTATCTCATGCACTTGTTAATGATGAATTTGTAACAAAACCGAGTTCTTCCACACCAAATAGGTAGAAAAATTGCATTTAAAATTACTTTTTGTAGTAAAATACTAAATCATTTTAAAACGGAAAAGCTCGCACTTAACCCGAACTCTATATTTACCCGAAAAGCGAACGTGAAGAAGTATGCCGGGCATTTTAAGCAATCGTTTCAATAATGGGGCTTACTTATCGGCCGCGAGCGTTCTATTCTAAAATTATATGTCAAAAATGGCCGGCCATAAATAACGCCAATTGACTAAGAGGTATTGTAGGGGCCCAGCGACGGTGTTACGAGGTGTTGACGATGGCACTCAAGAACTTATGATGAAAGCTCATCACGAACTCTTGATGACTATGCTGAAATAGTCTCTTCGATAGCTACGTTGTTACTTGTTTTACTATACAAAATGTTCCACTATTTTTTCTTTATAACAAGATTGTTATCTTTTTAAAGTATTAATTTAAACTTAATCCTAAATTATCTGTAATTAATTATACACTTATTTCAAATAATTTTTTCCATAATTAAAATAACAAATGAAGATCTTTTAATCAAAAATAAATAAAAAAATAATAATTTAAGTTATTAATTTAAAAAATTAATAATTTTAAAAAATTAGAATAAATTAAACCACTCATTCATAGATGTCGCCACCAATCGGATAATAAAATTTGATTTGACAGTTCCAATATTTGCCATCTCCCAAATACATGGTCTTTCAAGAACTTTCATTTTACTAAAACGCCGGTTTTTCACCTTTACCATTCGTACAGAGCGTGACGATGGAGCAAATACTTCAAAAATTGTTGGTAGCCAACAGCACGACGATACAAGAGGTAAATTTAGATTAAATCCACCAGAATAACACAACGTTTACGTCCTAACCTAAAAGTGACACGTGTATTTGTTAGGTTTTTCGTTGTAAATTTATTCTTTGCGTGTGTTTTAGGGTACGAAAGAGTTAAAGGAGGCGTTTAAGAATACCGAAGCCATCCCGGCGCTTTGTGATGTTTTGGTCGCGTCGGCTAGTCCGCAAGTTCGACAAACTGCTGCTGTTGTATTGCGGAGGAGGTTGGGAAAGAGACATTGTTGGAATAAATTGGATGTGAACGTTAGGAATAGGTAGGATGATTATATTTAGGAGGTATTTTGGTGATTCATTTTTAAGTATGTTGTAAAACAAAAATTAGGAGAAAAAAGTTTTTTTTTAATGTTTAGTGAATGTCATGGTTTTTGAAGACATTCTATTCTTTAACAATATTCTTTATTAAACTTTCTCCTTTCCCTTCTAAAATTACTGTTAATCATTTTTATGTAATTTCTTTTTAGATCAATTTTAAAGTAGCCCAATTTTTTTGTATCATTTTTTTGTGTATTGTGAAATTGGAGCAATGTGAAGTTTAAATTAGAATTTACAAAGCGAGGTTAATAAAGGTTAATTGGCGGCTCAACTTTATATTCCACAATAATGATTCATAATATACAGGATGTCACACATAACTGGTTTGGTTGCTTAGAACTTTTTTAGGTTCCACTATTCATACAGTTTTGAAATTTTGGTACATGGGTTGTTCATTCAGAACTTTCAATCTAAAACATTTTCAAGATGGCTACCACTTCCGGTTTACCGGAAGTAGACCATAACTTCGTTATTTTAAATGAAATGCTATAGTTTTTATTACACCTTTTAATTGTACCTAAAAAAATATGTTGAGTTTCATAAAAGTTATTAGTACCTAGCGTCTTTCGTTTTCGAGTTGTTTTGATTTTAAGTTTTTTTTTTGGCAAATTTTACCATGCTCTTTAAAACCCCATATCCCAGTCAAGATTCATTCAAAAAAGTTCTAAATTGGCAAGATTACTCCTCAGATGCTCTCAAATAGATTATCATTTATTGTATCAGAGTATCTTACACAGAGTGGTCACAAATTGTATTACTGTTTCTCAATATTCAACCGAAAGAAAGTCGAAAATTTTAAATGTAACGCCCCATATTTTATTAGCCTACCCGAAAGGGAATTTAATTCTCTACAATTTATCTATAAACATTCCTATACCTATTTATTGTAGTTTCGCTCATATTGGGAAATTTATCAAAACATGCAGGTTATGCAGGAAACCATTTGTATTTTTATTAGAAGGCATTTGATGACATTTTGACAGTTTTTCGTTTAAGGGGGTAAACCATATTAGAAGGTTCCAAAAATCGATTTTTTTTATTGCATAAATCGTTAGCTTAACTATCCAAGAATACCATGTCAAAATTACAAACCGAAATTCGCATTCGTTTAGATTTTATGAGCATGGAACGCTTTTTGTTTATTATGTGTTTGTTTACCTTACTTGGCGTCAGTTTTGATTTAGCTTCTACGAGTAATTTGTTTGCAATTGAAAGTGAGAATGCCTTCGTATCCGAAAGGTGATCGTGACACTTACAAACGCCGCAATAAACCGCGTAAAAGAAAGTTCCATGGGAACCACCGATGAAAATCCTCGACACAAGTGTTGCCCACAGAGAGCTGGTGCGTGTGGCAGAAACGAGCAGCTCTTGGAATGGAGCTTGCACCGCACCCAACTTTATTGCATTCCGACATACAGCAGGAAATTCAGCATATATATGAAGATTTATCAAAGGATGAATTACTAGAAAGATGTTTAGGTGGCCACACGCAAAACGCAAATGAAAGCTTTAATTCCACAATTTGGCGATTATTTCCTAAACATTTGCACTCCAGACTAAAAGTCATCGAATTGGCATCGTACTTAGCCGCGTGCTTATTCAATGAAGGAAATTCATCTCTTCTGATGATCATGAACGAAGCAGGAATTGTGGTAGATGACCAAAATAAATAGATGATAGAATCGACGAGTTCGTTGGAGTCGAAGGAAGGTCGGCAAGCTCGAAAAGCACAGCTGCAGGCGCAAATTGAAGCCTAAAGAAGAAGCTAAAATTGCGGATTAATCGGTGACTACTTCTAAATTTCTAGTTTTCGAGATTTTTTTTTCAAACCCGTGCTTCTCAAAATGACTTTTTTCACATTTGCGGGAACTCTAACTCAAAAAGTAATGAACCAATCATTATGAAAATTGATAGTATGATTCTTTATGAAATTACGAAATATATGAATCAACTTTTGAGATGATATCATGATTTTAAGAGTTTTTTTTTGCATAATTAGTAAAAAAAAAAGTGAAATTTTATAGTTATTTAACCAACAAGTCTATTAATGAAGGCGATTAATTATCGAGATATTTTAGTTAATTATTGAGATAATTAATCGCATTTTAATATACGAGTTAGTTACAATATTTTTCCGTTGACCGTCTTTTCAACAAAATAGAGAAAATCCATCGTTGAAAAATCTCCCAATTCTGTCACTGGTAAAATAACCTCACTTTTAATGTGTCATAATTTATTTTTGTAGTCTTACCGAATAGATATAGTGGTCGGTTGGGTCGGTATTACAAATTTCATTGGAGAATATTATTTATTAAATTGACTACTATTTAGTTCGGTCGGACTTTCTTAAAATCGTTTATTAATACAAAATCGTTTATTAATAGGTGTCATTAATGAATGATTTTGTATACATTTATAAATCATATAAATACACGGTCGACGGAAAAGTAAATTTTTCCAACACCTGCAAAATTATTAATTTTCGTTACATTTACCTGCATTGAGGTTCATATTCTTAGAAAATAAGTTATTAATCGAAAATGAAAAACTTTTTGATATCAGGTGAAAATTGAAATGGCTACACGATCCGTAATTGGAAAACTTTAGGTACGACGTCCAGCGGGCATCAGAGCATAACTTTGTTATTTATTTTTCGATAAAATTATTCAAAAAAATTCACAAAAGTTGTTCGAAATATAAACAATATTTGATTAAATTCTAATTAATTCTTCCCACCCAAAAAAATCCTAAAAAATCAATGAAAATGAGCCTCCTAATGTGGTTTCCCCCCTTAATTTATTTCTGTTATCATCAGTACTATTAACTACGATTGATAATCTTTTAGTTTACTAGCTTTTACTTACCAAAAATAACAAACAGAAGATCAAACAAATGAAACAATTAAAACAAAAAATTAATGACAAAAATTAGATTTGGATAAAAATATAAATTTGTTATTAAATTGAATTTGGAAATGCAATAAAATACGATAAACTATTTATTTCGTTTATTCATCAATACAAATATCGGCGTTGAAATAATCTGCCATCATGTTCAATGACTTACACTCGTCGTCAAATGTAACTAATGACAACAATAATACAAACATGGACCAAAAACTGTCAAAATTCCACAGCTTTCTAATTAAAAAAATGCATTTCATGCATTTTTGTTAATAAATTTCCCAATATGAGGCAAACTACAATAAATAGAATTAAATTCCCTTTCTGATAGAGTAAAAAAATATGGGGCGTTCCATTTAAAATTTTCGACTTTCTCGCCATTGAATATGGAGAAACAGTAGTTCAATTTTTGACCATTCTGTATAAGATACTCCGATACAACAAATGACAATCTATTTAACAGCATCTGAAGAGTAATCGTACCAATGTAGATCTTTTTTGAATGAACGTTGGCTGAGATATAGAGTTTTAAAGAGAACGTTGTAATTTACCAAAAAAAGCTTAAAACCAAAATAATTCGAAAACGAAACGCTGGGTACCAATAACTTTTATCAAAGTCAACCTATTTTTTACGTACAATTAAACGGTGTAATAAAAACTATAGCATTCCATTTAAAATAACGAAGTTATGGTCTACTTGCGGTAGACCGGAAGTGGCGGCCATCTTGAAAATATATTAGATCGAAAGTTCCGAATGAACAACTCATGCAGTCAAAATTTCAAATCTCTACGAATAGTGGAACCTGAAAAAGTTCTAACGAACCAGTTACGTGAGACACCTGTATAGAAAAGTAAAAATAACATTAACTATACAGGCTGTTTTAAAACAACGTTTAAATATTTATGAGGGTAACAATAATAATTTAGTACTACAGTCGAAAAATGTTAATGAACATGGGTTCGCAAATCAACCATTTTTGAAATATAGGATGTTCAAATTTTTTGGGACTCTACGTTTTTCTTTTAAACTATAACTACTACAGATTCAATACTTGGCAAATTGATACAATATGGAGCTGTCTCTTTTTGAGAGTAGTATGTTTTTTAGAAAATTCAAAAATTTTATTTAAGAATTGGTTAGATAGCTTAATTCTAAACAACATTAATTCGAAAAAAAAAATTGTATTGGTTAAGAGAGGTTTCTGAGAAAAAACATATTTTTTAATGTAAATTATTAGAAAAATTGAATTGATAGGTTGATCGGTTTTTATAAGTTTCACAAAACTTACAAGTTTATAAGATTCATCAAAACGAGGCTTTTGAAGATGTAGAAAATGTCGACCTGCAACATCCATACAGTTTCTAATTCTATGTTCAAAGAAAGCCCAAACTCTTTCAAATATTATGAATTGTCCCTGTCCTATTCGTTGCCACAAGTCTTCAAGATCATTTACATGTGTCGCGTACACTAAACTTTTTAAGTAGCCCCACAGACAAAAGTCTAGCGGTTTCAAATCCGGTGAACGTGCAGTCCATGCAATGGGAACCCCTCGCCCTATCCATCTCTCAGGAAATCTTTCATTCAAAAGTTCTGTAACAATATGTGTAAAGTGCGGGGGAGCACCATCCTGCATAAAACAGAGATTTAGTCTTTGATTTAACAGAAAGTCTTCCAAAAGTTAAGGAACAGTGTTTTCCAAGAAAACTAAAACGCTGTTGATGTCTGGTTTCAACAACAGCTCTAGTATTTTCGTCAGACCACACATGATTATTGTGTAAATTGAATATTTCATTTCTGGTAAAACCAGCTTCATCGGCAAAAAGTATGTTAGTTGTTGTAAAACCATTGACAGAATATCAACCATGCGTGGTAATCCGGAAGATTGAGGGCTTGGACACATTTTCATCAACTCTATTAAAAATTTTTTCTTCTATTTCCGGTATACATACAGATCTCTGCCATCCGGTATTATAAGACCTTTTGTCAAACGATTCAGTTTCTTTTAGACGGTGGAAAAGTGATTGAAACGTAACATGTGAAGGTAGTCGCCGATTGGGAAATGTTTCAGCATAGAAACGTCGTGCTCTCAAAGCATTTTCATTGGCACGGCTGTACATAAACACCATATCGCCCATTTCAGCATTTGAATACAAGACCATTGCAATCGATTTCACTTCAGGTTTCGCAAAGTCAAATTACTGCAGTTTGGTTATTTCGTAATTTGAACGAAACGTCAAATTAATGTATCTTTGCATATTGTGGGTGAATCAAGGCCTACTCCTTGTAATGGCAAAATTTTGTTAAATAATGGACGTACACTCAGCATAACGTTTTGTAATGGAATAACTTATACCAACTGGAAGTAAAAGAGACAGTTTGATACTGTATCGATTTGCAAAATATCAAGTCTGTAGTAGTTATAATTTAAAAAAGAAAACGTGGAGTCCCAAAAAATTTGATCTTGTATCTCGAAAACGGTTGATTTGAAGATCCATGTTCATTAACACTTTTCTTAAACACACCCTTAGGTGATTTAATGAAAATATCCTCACCTCGCAAAAAATATTTGGGCTCAGTTTGCCCAGATAATAATTTTCAATATTTATTACTAATTAATTAAATCTTAAACAAACTCTTTACATTTCAGAATAAAACAAGGAATGCTACAAGCGTTATTAAGTGAACAAGAAAAATTAGTGAAAAATTCAATAGCACAGTTTATTGGTATAGTTGGAAAATATGAATTTCCTGATAATACTTGGCCGGAAATTTTACAATTTATTCATCAATTATGTAGCAGTGAAAACGTTTTAGATAGAGAAGTAAACCACTTTTGAGTTAAATTAAATAAAATTCTCTATATATATATAATTTTAGATGGGAATGTATACTTTATCAATAATGACAGAAATCTCCAAAGGTTCTTATTTACCACATACCGAAGTTTTAGCAACATTATTTACAAACATCTTAAACAACATGCAAGAACTTAGTTCCAATTTGGCGTATTACACGGTTATCACAATGAAACATTTAGTATCGGTTATCGGGGGACATCATCAAGTAATGTTCATTTAATTTTGAAACGAAACGAAAATCATAATCACTTTTTTAGATGGTTAATGTTTATCATACTTTATTACCCCGAGTTTTAGAGATTATAAACAGTTTTTGTCAGACTGACGAAAAAAGAGCTTGTGAATTATTCGAAATTCTCGAAGATTTAATGGAGGATGCCGTCGCGGTTGTTATTTCGCATATAAGAGTTATAATGGAGATGTGTTTAAGAATTGGGTGTAATAAAGACATCGAAACTAGCGTTCAAATTAAAGCTATCAGTGTTATAGGGTGGATAATAAGAGTTAAAAGTAAAGTATGTTAATTTTTGTTTTAAAATGTATTTTTTATCTAATTTAGATTTCATTTAATTTAGGTGGTTCAAAAAAATAAACTCATCGAGCCGGTTATTGACGTTTTAATACAATTAATGGCACAGAAACCGGAAGATGATGTAAATGAGGAATATTTTCTTGGTGATCCAGATCAATTCACCACAACAACAATCGCAGCTCAAACTCTGGATTTAGTTGCGTTAAATGTTCCACCTGAAAAAGTAGTACCTTATTTATTAATGAGGGTTGAACCCGCCCTTCAAGGAAACGATATCTACGCCCAAAAAGCAGCTTATTTAGCCCTCGCCGTTTTAGCGGAAGGTTGTGCTGATTACATCAGGAAAAAATATTTAGAAGCATTTTTAAAATGTATTTATAACGGAATCAAAAATCCAAACGTTGTTGTTAGAAATGCGGCGTTTTTTGCTTTAGGACAATTTTCGGAACATTTACAAGTACATAAAAGATATTTTAAATCAATTTAAAATTAATAACTTATTTTTTAGCCTGAAATAAGTCAATATGCATCAGAACTCCTCCCAGTTTTCTTTGACTATCTCTCTCAATTATTCGTCGAAATGTCCCAATCAAAGACTGAACCCTCAGGTCTCGATCGTATGTTCTACGCCCTACAAGCGTTTTGCCTTAATTTAGACGATGGCCTCCTTCCATACCTTCCAACATTAATGGAGCGTCTCTTAGTGGCTTTAGACCCATCAAGTTGGTCGTTACAACTAAAACGGGTCGCATTAAGCACTTTGGAATCAGTCGCGTCGGCGGTTAAAGAAAAAATAATGCCCTACTTCCAAAAAATCATCGAAATACTTTTTACATACATCAATGCCAACCCGGACTCGGATATCCACGAACTTCAATCGTACGCTTTGGAATGTTTGGCAACTGTGGCTGATACGGTAGATCCCGAAACGTTTAAACCACTTTCCCAACAAACGTTAGAGATGGCGTTAAAAATATTGGCGGAAAGCGAAGATCCGGATGTGAAGAAGAGTATTTATGCTTTATGCGCCGCTTTAGCTGGAGTTATGAAAGAGGGGATTAATCCTGCTCTTCCTACCATCGTTGACGCGATGATTAAAACAATTCAAAGTAGTGAAGGAATAATCGTAATTATATATTTAAATAATAATTCGTTTGATTAATGCATTTTTTTTTAATAGGCGCATTACGAAGAAGATGAAAAGGAAGGTTTAGATTTATATGATGATATATCAGGATCTGAAAACGAAGACGAAGAAGATATTGAAAATGAATCTGTTAGCAGTGATTCAACTCAATGTCGATATTCTGTTGAGAATTCTTATAATGATGAAAAGGAACAAGCCTGTTTGTCATTAACAGAATTATCAAAGAAATTAAGGTACTAAAATTTATTATAATGTATTAGTTATTAATTAAGTTTATTTTTTTAAAGTTCGTTCTTCTTACCATATCTTGAAAAGAGTTTTGAAGAAATCTTTAAACTTCTCGATTATCCTCAGGAAGACATTAGGTCATCGGCTATTGCCGCATTAGAACAATTTTGTATAACCCTTCATGAACAACAAACTCCTGAAGGGAAACAAGCCCTTTACAAAGCATTACAAATGTTCATACCAAAGTGTGCTCAAATTATTAAATTTGAGGAGGAACAAAACATTGTGATTCAAGCCACAAACGCTTATAGTAATATGCTTGAATCTATAAAAGGGGATATGTTTGTTGGTGAAGGTCATAGAGAGGCCATTATGAACTGTGTGATTGACTTGTTGACTAAAAAAGTAAGAATTTTTTCTTTATGAAATTTTAATTATTATTAATAATGGTTTTTTTTTAGACAACTTGTCAAGATAACGATAACAACGATTCAGGGGACACTGTTGATGATGATGAAGAATCTGAACAAACTGAATTGTTACTTGAATGTGCAGGAGATATTATTCCAAAATATGGAAATGCTTTAACGCCTGATGAGTTTGTTTTGTATTTTCAAAATGTTCTTAATTTATTATCAATAAGAACGGTAATATTTTTTTTATATTAAGGTTAAAATTAAGGTTTAATGTGTAACCTTTTGTAAGTCTTCTTGATCTGCTGGGAATGTTTTCAATCCCTCATACAACTTCCTCCATGATTTTTTGGTTCAATTGGTTCAACTCTTAAACCAAAATAGACCTATTATTACAATTCATTAAGATCCTAAACTATTCCATCTGTTCATCTTTCTTATGTACTCAAACCTTGATTCCTGGATGAGATCAATTCGATGGCAATTCACACATTAATGCAAAAAATAGTCTCAAGGTGTTGTAGGGTGCTAACATTTTTCTGCGCTGCAATATCGAATTTTTATTAAGTTGAGAATTAATTACAATTTTTTTTAAAGAAAAATAAGAAAAGTGTGAGTCAACGATCGTTTGGTTATGGAACATTAGCTGAATGCATGAAACCTCTTGGAATTTACGTTGAAAAATTTGTTCCTGCTTTATTACAATTATGGGTTGCTGGAGCAAAAGATGAAAGTGAAGATGTTAGAAATAACTCAGTTTTTGGACTTGGCGAAATGGTACTTTATGGAAAAGATTGTATGTTTCCGTATCCTTTCAGTTATTAACAATACTTATTTATGTATTAAGGATGTTTTTTTTATATTTCAATGTAATTAAAGCAAATATTTAGGTTTTATATACAGGCTAGGCTGGTCCATTTAACGTGAGACAAGCGATTATCTCGAAAACGGTTTATTTTACATAAAAATGAACCAAATGAAAGTTGTTCTGTGCAAAGGGGGAAACCATATGACGATAACATTTTTTGACCTTGACCTTATTTTCAAGGTCATATGAAGGTCACGGCAAATTTTTTAAATGGCACCCTAGATTTTTGATTGCAAAATCAAACAACAAGTATAAAATTTATAATAAATGTTCTAATATTTCCCCTCCCACTTCAATACATTTATTAACCCTTCTACTAAAACTTTCTTTACATCTTAAAAGGTTTTCTTGGCTACTATTTTTGCATGCACTTCTTATCCGCTCTTTCATGTTTTCTGGCGTAGTCGGTATTTCGCGATAAACATTATCCTCAAGGACGTCCCACAAAAACAAATCAAGAGGTGTTAAATCAGGTGATCTGACAGGCCAGGAAATTGGACCTCCCCTTCCAATCCATCGCCCAGCATAATCTTGATCTAAAGCTTCACATGCAATGTGTGAAAAATATGCAGGACACCCATCATTTTGCAGCCACATATTTTGTCTTTCTTCCCTGCTCAAATCTACAAGTAACATTGATAAGACGTCATCTAAAAAATGTCGGTACTTCTCCACATTCAGCATACCATCAATAAAGTATGGACCGATCAATTTATCACCAATTATGCCACATCAAACATTAACAGACCGAGGTCGTTGATGTTCTACTTCACGCAACCATCTCGGATTTTTAACGCTCCAATAGTGCATGTTATGTCTGTTGACTTGTCCTTTGTTTGTAAAAGTAGACTCATCTGAGAATAGCACGTTACCAAAGAAATTGACGTCCAACCGCATTCGTTCTTGTGCCCATTGACAAAATATTAATCGATTTTCAAAATCACCTTCATAAAGCTGTTGATGCAATGAAATGTGGTATGGGTGATACTTGTTGCGCTTTAATATTCTTAAAATGTTTTTCTTCGATATTCCGGCGTTAATTGCAAGTCGTCGACTGCTAACTTGAGGATTTACCTCAACGCTAGCTAATACCGCAATTTCCTTTTCTTCCGTAGTTACAGTTGCTCGCCGAGTTCTTTTTCTTGATTCCACATTAACAGTGTTAGTGAAATCATTCACAACTCTGTAAAAGGTACTTCTCGAAGGCGTATTTCGATCAGGAAAACGTTTTCGATACAAAGCTATACTATCAGCAACGTTTCTGCCACTTTCTCCATAAATAAAAATCATTTCGACTTTTTCTGCCACACTTAGAGTATCCATGATTTAATGACTTAGTTTAAACACTTTGCCTTAATGTAAAACAATGGAATGAATTCAGAATTTGTTGCCAAGCAGTTTTTATACAAATTTAGTTTTATATTTTAAAACAATTCAACCAATTAAGGGCCGTTTTATCAATGTCGAGTTAAATCTGTTAGGGCCGGTTGTACCACCTCCCGATAAACTATCTAACGGATAATTACCATGGATACAGCGGTTTTAAGCGCTCTCATTGGCTAAGTGCGCCAATTTATCTATCGGATAAATTTATCGGGAGTTGGTACAACCGGCCCTTAGCCAATGAGAGCGCTTAAAACCGCTGTATCCATGCTAATTATCCGTTAGATAGTTTATAGGGAGGTGGTACAACCTGCCCTTAGATACGCAACTCATGGATAAACTTGCCTAACAGATAACCTCAGTGAACCGGTTATCCAGCAACTTTCTACCCGACAGGCAGCAACCTACGAGATAGAACATAGATGGTACCCCTGAGTGTTAATATTAGAAACGGAAATGAAACGTAATTGGTGAAATTTGAATAATTGATTTTAGTTTGTGAAGTTGATATAAAGAGCTGATCGTGTTTTGGAGGTTATCATTCCCGTGTGCTTTCGGTATTGTGCTTTGTTTTGGAAAACCTCTTTTATAATGGAATTCGTACATGAATATTTATTAGACAGCGATAAAGATGAGGATACTGTCCAACTCTTAAATTATAAACGACGACCATATATTATAAAAGAAAGACAAAAGTCAAAATCACTTTGAGGAGTTGGACTACCACGTTTTTTTGTTAGATTTCGGTTAAAAAAGGACACAGTTTTGTTAATCTTGGTTAAAATTGAGACGAGATTATACTGTATTAGATTATAGATTACATTATTATTTTTTTTTTAATTACTAGATTATTATTTATTTTCTATAACATTTTTATATTCGTTTCCCAAATCCATCAGCAAGTTCTTTTCTGCTGTACTAAAATTTGATGATATTTTCTTTCTCTTGCTTATCCATCAACACAATTATAAGCTTAATTTATTTTTGACGTTATATTTTAATTTCATTGTCATTTCCTTTCACCAAGCAACCAAACTTATGCTCACATTTTTTTGACAATAGCTGTGTTTGGTACACTTGCTATAAATACTCCTAGTGTAGCAAGTGTACTGCAGTTGACAACTCTCAGTTTTCAACACATTTTCATAGTGCATAAGTGTAACAATTTTAGGTGTTTGGTAAAACGGATTATTATGACAGTTATAGGTTATGTAATCTTTATTATTTCTGTAGGAAGTTGAATAATTATTGATCAAAGAATCAAGATGAATAAATCAAAAAAGGAAATGTTGCCTGTAGTTTTCCCCCTTCATCATAAATTATTTTTACATTTAACTGTCTTTCAATTTTAGCCATTATATTTAACCGGAGAACTTCCTATTGGGTTTTTAATTTTAATTGAATAGAACGTTTTCTACAAATCAAACTGTTATTTATTGTTTTTACTAGCTTACAATATTTTATTTTTGTTTAGATAAATCTAACTTTGACACTTTCAAAAAACTAAATACGTCTTAAAGGTTATGTCGACTTACACTACACTTCCTACACTTGCCGGCGAGTCGGTGTGAAAAGTGTCTGCACTTTTAAAACTCAATCGCTTACCAAACGCGGCGGCACTATCTACACTTGTTTGCACCAGTCTACCAAACACTATTTTTAAGAAAAACTGTGCACTGGTGTACATTAGTGCAAGATACCAAACAAAGCTAATATCTAATAGGTAAACCCTTAACCAGTACTTCAATGTGGTGGGTATCCAAATGTCATATTTATCTATAAGATTACCCTAAACTACGGGTGGTTAAACGATTCGTCAACGTTATCCATCAGCTACAATTTTAATTGACAGATAAATCGTCTTAACTAGATATTGATAAACCGGCCCTAAGTCTCTGAAAGTGATATTCTGAAAATGCCGACATAAGCAGTTCCACGAACTCTTGTTTTTCTATGCGTTATTCTATTATCAAATTGACAAACGCGGAGAAATGTCGAAACCTTTTAGACTTCTTTCCAAAGGTATTTTCGACAAGCCAGGCCACCTATTTTGGATTTTTTTTTGCGCATTCTTAAATAGTATTCTAAGAATTAAGAACTAAAGACAATGTTTCGAAGCGGATAGGAAAATGTTTAAAAATTCATAAATCTTATTTGTTCTTGCTAGATTATATACGTTAGTTAATCGTTTCTGAAGAAGTTTCAATTTGTTTCAAAAGATGTTTTGCCGTTGTACTGGCAAAACCACACAGTAAAATTTTTTTATTTTTTTTTAATTACTTTACTTTTATCCAGAGATTCAGATTTTACAATAAAATATATAGGGTGCTATTTAAAAAATTTGTCGTGACCTTCATATAACCTTGAAAATAAGGTCAAGGTCAAAAATGTTATCGTCATATGGCTTCCCCCTTTGCACAGAACAACTTTCATTTGGTTCATTTTTATGTAAAATGAACTGTTTTCGAGGTAATCGCTTGTCTCACGTCAAATGGACCATCCTGTATATATATATCCGGGTTTATAGCGTCCGGTTCTTCTATTCTCTATCCTCTCATTATCATGGTTTCAGCTTTTTCACCTACATTGCTCTCTGAATGGCGCTTATCCAGGTAACCTTTGCTCTACCTCCCTTCCTCCGCATGTCCTTTGTTAACTACCCACTTTGTTCTAAGATGATGCTTTTAAAGACTCAGTTTTCATATTCAACAAAAAGTTTACTTGACAAATTCCAGATCCTCATATAATTGTTTAATTGCATATTTATCACAGTTTTTTTATTGAGACAGTATCATATCCTTTAGTAACGTTTATAAATAGTAGATAGACTTCTTTATTGGTGTTTTTCTCATTTATTTGATTTATAATAAAAATATTATCACTTTCTAAAGTTTTGGAGGCGCAAGAATACAAGTATAAAGTACCTTAGTATAAAAAAATCTTAATAACGACGTTCAGAACTAAATTCTCCAGATTAATAAGGGCCCAATCTTTTTTTTTGTTCCATAAAAATAGTAATACCTTTTCCCTGTTTTATAACTTTTTGGGTGAATATTTAGGTTTTAATTTTTTGGTAAATTTTCTTTAACATATTTAATGTAGTCATTACAATGATATATTACACGGTTTATCAAATATGCTTCCAAAAGAGACACATTCAGGAACAATGGATAATATCAGTGGGGCTTTAGCAAAATTAATAATAGCCAATGTAAACGCAGTACCGATGGACCAAGTATTTCCAGCACTCCTTCAGCATTTACCATTAAAAACCGATTTTGCTGAAAACGAGGCGATAATTAAATGTTTTTGTGGATTGTATCAACAGGGTAATGTCCATATTAAAAATAATATGGAAAATGTTGTTAAAATTGTCGTTCATATTTATCATAATAAACAGACTGAAAATGATGGTAAGGATTAATTAAACTTTTTATTAATAAGGTATTAAATTTAATTTATTTTTCAGTTACTTTATTAATGGTAACAGAATTCTTAAAAACTATAAACCGAGATTTTCCCCAAGAATTTGGAAGTATAGTTTCTTCGTTAGGTGAAGATGTAACAGGCAATGTGCAAAAATTATTTATATCCTAACGTTTTTTTTTTATTAATATTTATTTTATTTTAATAATTTAATGATGTATTGCTTGTTTTTTCTATCGCCTAATGCATGAAATTGCGTGGTAAATCTCAAAAATTAAAAACAAATAATAAATTGTATACCTACGAGATTATTTGGATGAATTTACATTACAAAAGCACAAAGGTACGCAATTATTCTCTCATTTTCATTGTTATTCTTCAGTGTTTGGAATCGAGAAAGAACGTGATTAAACAAAACTGCAAAATTAGCTATTTTATGCTTATACATTGTTATTTACAGTGTTTTTTTATATAAAGATTTATTGAAGTAAACAAATTTTGTTTGACGTTTTAATCATAACCCTTGAATTAATTAATTTTTTTAATTATAATCTTGTATTTACCTAGAAAATTCTTTGAAACCAATAAAAACCCAATTTATTAATTTTTTTCCAGTAAAATACTTATAATTATTATCAGTTATCGATAGATAAGAATCTAACGCAACTTACAATTACATTCAGTTGAAAATGTCATCAGTAATCGAAATGGACACAACATTCTAGTAGGTTAAACTTTATATATTTATTTATGTGTTCTTATTTTAATAGAATTCAATGGTTTTAGTTGCATCGTTCATTCAAAAAGAGTAAGTTATTTTTATTTTTTTATTATTTCTTGTTGATTAAAAACTAAATAAGAGTCGCGATAAAAAGAGATACAAACGGAATTAATTTACTTGTGTTTCAGAGGAATATTCCGGTTGAAAATTGATTGGAACTCGTGTTGTAATTGTGCGTGATATGTGCGTTTAAGAATGTGGATGTGATTTTTTTTTCTTCGCAAAGTGTTTCATCAGGAGAAGAATGGAAATTTCTGACCAAGTCGGAAGTTCTTACGCCGTTGCTCTCAATCAAAACAGAACCGTTAATGTAAGTAATAAAAAGCATTTTTTAATTAAATATTGTCTCGTTCTTAATCAATATTTGTTTTAAATTAATCGATTTTCAATTTACACCGTATATACCGTTATAAAACAAGATATTTCCTTTTAAAGTTAACCGAATCAAAATTCCTAACGATAGTATTTTTAATTTTCTCCTCAGATAACGTATCAACGTCTCCGTCAAGTGATTTTTTTGTTGTAATTTATATTTGTTTAAAATGAAAAGTATGTTTTTTTTGTTAACGACCTTTCTTGGAATCTTTTGTTTAAGCGATCAAAACCAGATAAATTACAACGGAACATATTACAACTTGCACAAGTGTTCTAAATTGTTTTAATAATCACTAAATTAATTATCGAATTATAAAATGAATTATTCTTTTTTTCAGGATGATGGGCTAAACGTCGAAACCGCAGAGGAGGATCACAAACAATGGGGTTATATCAGATTAAAGGTAAGCGAATTTTAATCTTAATTTATCTTATTTTTTTAATTTATTAGGAGTAGTTACTATTTCCGACTTTATAATTTAAACTAAAGAAAAGGGATTTTGATGGATTACTTAAAATCTTCTTATCATTTACAATCGATTGCAACAATCACACTTGATTTTCGTAAACTAATCTATTTACAACCGCAAATCTATTTCAATACATCGACAGTCAGTATAATAATTCAAATTTTATCTCTTATAATTTATTTAAACTTGTTTTTTTGTGATGGATGTGTTTATTAACGATTTAAATGTAAGTGATTTTCTCTTATATTATTTTATTAAATTAATTTCAAAATTAAGCTTTATTCGAGTTGTATGAATCATTTAGGAGATAATTTCCGTGATGAATAATCACGTTTCGTGAAATCTTTGTGGGTGAGGTTATAAAGAGTGTAAAGTTTCATTTTGCGAAATTGGTAATCACACAATTTCGATTTATTGTATAAAAAGGAAGTTGTATTATCGCATTGAAATCAGTTTTATTTAATTATACTTTGACATTATGTTGAGCTCACTTGGTTTAGTTAACAGATTATTATGATTAGATAATAGTGATGACGTTATCTTGTTCGTTTTATAATTTATTTGTTAGCATACTTTTTATTACTATTATTGAAATAATCAATTTTAATAATACTTTTTTAATTGGAAAAGTTTACATTCAATATCTTGGTGTTATGGTCCTAAAAGAAGTTTTGAAAATAAAAAAATCATTAAAAATGTTTTTGACTCATCGCTGTAGATCTTTAATCTAGATCTGCTTCCACCCAGATTGATTGTAAGATGGACTAGATCATGGCCGAGATCACGTTGAATTCAGATACAGGAAGGTTCTCTCGACACATGTAGAATCGTGAAACTCTGAAGATCTGAAAAGTTGGGAATTAGCACATAAATTCAACTTAGCGTATACTACTATGTATAAAACATTAAGGGATAAATTAAACAGTAAAAAATGTTTAGCCGTTAACTTCTAATATAATTCGTAAACTGCGTGGTCTCACAACAGAAATGGATGATGCTTAAAATATGCTCTTAAAGTATGTTGAGCAGAAATGGCTCAACAATGCACAAAGTGGTGAAGCGGTAAGTGCCAATAAAGTCGCTACATCTGCTTTTCCTGATAATTAAAGAAGTTAATAGAAGAATGTGGCTATGAAAAGGCATTTTCAGGATTTATAGCTTCGAAAGATCAATTAGGGTGTGTCCAAATATGGCGCGTCGTGCCACACGTTGCTGCCTCACACTCCCACAAATTTTTAAGCTTGGTGGAAACGCTTCTGGCGATTTTAAATTAAAACCTTGGTTGGTGTATCGATCTGAAAACCATAGAGTCCTCAAGAATAAATCTAACGAACCCAAGTTTGCTAGTAATTATTATTTGAAGGCTGGTTTCAGATTCATTTTACCCCGGAAGATGAACTGTTCCTCTAAAGACATCGCATTTAACGCGTCAAAGTAATGTGTTTACATCAAATACGGCTAGTTTACTGCAACCAATGGATAAAAGTATTATAAAAGCATTAAAAGCTTATTATACTCGACGATCATTTAGATGTTTAAGGCCCGTTACTACCAAACCAATGCTATCTATCAGTTAAGCTATCTATAAGATACAATTTATCTCGTAGATAACAGGGTCGTCCGTACTACCACCTCCATTTATCTCATAGTTAAGAAATCCTTGAGATAATCAAGGAATCTAGAGATTTTTTGGTCTATTATGTTAAATTAACAGCTCTATGTGGTCAAAAGACCTACTATTAGGTATTTTGACGATATTCTAACCTGTTCTAATAACAAAAAAGAATCTCGTATTATTGTATGTTAAAATGTGATAGTAAACAATAATGCACAACTAACATGATGAACGACTGAAGATGCCAATTGTACACTCACTCCTGCAAAATCTGCTATGGATAAGCAACATGTCACCTATTGCATAAAACCGAAGAGTCAGCAACAAACGGTTTGAAGGAGGTACAGCATTATTACTAAAATTTTGGTGAATTTTACATTAAACAATAGCAATCAACAAATTACTTACATCATGGATGGAAGTTTTATTACATCTTCTATTTGACTCAAAAGGTGATGAAAACTTTTTTCGAGAGATGAAATATCTTCATAAATTCAACATCTGAATGAATATTTAAATGGTCAACTCTACTCCTTATTATCTTTTCGCTTTTTATAGGAAATAATTCATTGATTTCTTCAAAAATTTGTTCTTCATCTGCAATGTCGAAGAAATTATCCATGATGATTTTATCCAATGTTAATTATTAATAGTTTTTTATTTACGTTTATACTACTTTTCTTATTTTAACTGAAATAATAAAACGCTCAAATTTTATACATCAGTATAAATTACGGGTTACAGATATTTCAAAAGTTATCCCTTGGATAGCGGTATCTATAAGATAAATACAATGGTAGTAACCAATTTTTAAGCTATCCGATAGATAAGACTATCAACGACTTTAACTATGAGTGGTAGTAGTGGGCCTAAATGAATATATGAATCACGATGACAACTTATAAGTTAAGGATTTTTGGATGTTCTGAATGCTTATTAAGAAGGACCAAGATGGAATTGAATAAGCACCGAATAAACATCTGCGTCATATCAGCGACGACCAGGTGGGAAATCAATAAAATATAGCAACTATGTATTGATTTACAGCGGAAGACCGCAGAACGCAATACACGAAAAGCTATTACACGTTGCACTCACAATCAGATTAGGAGGAGTCGATGACACCAGCAAATCAAACGAAAAAGAATGTTTACAACCAGCTCCAGAATTTAATAGAAAGCATTCCAAAACAATACCGTAAGATTTTTGCGCATTTTTCAAGATTAAAAGTGAAGAAATGAAGTTAAGTCAACAGAAACTTGTTCATCATACCAACCTAACCTTCAGGATTATATAGCTATCATAAAACATTGAAAATACCTTATACAAACAACAAAAAATATATAAAAAAATGATGTCCGAATAGCCCTGTTGTTGGGGCTTATTTTACACTAAACTTCGCTTTAGGGACAATCTCTTACTTTACATGTCAGATGGTCAAGTTTCCCTGAAAATGTAACTGAAGCATTAAGGAATGTATTTTTATTGATGTTTGACGGTATTCTGATGAACAGGTTGTTTCAAGCGATAAAAGAATCGTTGAAATCTGGACCTGGATGGTTGTTCTTGAAGACCTTGACCTGCTTCCCTTGTTTATTTAGGTATTTTATCACCACATCTCGAATGTTGGCCTTTGTTAAGGGGAACCTCAAATTCGCAACAACAGCCAATGTTTCAGAAATCAACAGCTCCTCAGACTTGCTTAAAACAGTCGGATGGGTCTTGAATTCCTTCCAAGTATCTTCCGTATTAATGTTGTCCGAGGCACTTTGAACGTTTCTGCGGCCTTTTTCCTTGACATTCCCTTTCAAACTGCATCCATAACCTTTTCCAAGTCTTGCACCATTTTTAATCAGTGACTTCCTTTGATAACAAGAAAAAAAACACCAGAAACAAAAACTTAACCTAACTTCGCTTTCGTGACACAGGACTGAACACGTATGCGTTGTGTCCTTGCAGCCGCCCTGGGGTGACTAAGTAGCCCAAGGTACCAAGTTGGTACCGTAAGATGGGTACCAACTCGTGCTTATGGGGAATTTCAAGGTGGATTTCAATTATATTAACATCTTCTCAAATAGCAGGGGCTAAAAATCACCTCTTCTACCTAATAATAAACGAACAAATTCACCCATCGCAAATACTTGATGTCATAGCTTTGTCATTAACGGTTATAGGAAGTGATCATATCTGCATAATATGTTATGGTGACAACGCTGCGATGATCTGGTTCTGAACATGGTTGTCTTTACTTCAAAAACTAAATACCTGAGGGTAGCCAATAAGAACAACACCCCCATTGAACAAGTTATGGAATTTTTCTATTTGGGTGTGGACCTCTCAAGTATCCTCGATGCCGGAAAGAATAAAATTGATGAGTGGATAAGACGGATACAACAGATATGCATTCGCCCAATAATGACTTATGACATTGAAATATTCGAAGACTCAAACAAAACTAAGAGTAGTCAAACATATTAAGAGTAGAAATGAGGACGTTGAGGATAATTTCAGAATAATCAACATCAGAGATCAATGCGATGTTCAGGACATTGTGAAATGGGGAAGATTACGTTGATCACAAGATATGGTTGGGCAACGAAGTAACCTTTACATTGTGTGGAGATGTAAATTGGTACAATTTCCTCTAAATACTGCCAAATTCGTTTACGGCCTTGGCACTGCTATTAATATTTCAATATAACGTTTTATATCAATACAAAATTCAAGGCATATTTCCATTTTGTGTGACTTTATTTCAATATAAAGCCGCTATTTCTTGCAATCGAAACTCCACCTAGTGAAATCTATTACCACTAATATAAAAAAGCTTAATTACGTTGAGAACCTTACACGATTTCATCTTTCATTCAAGGGAGGGGCAGTCCAACCTTACATATAATCCAAGAATGTCTCTATCCAATCTCGTATGTAAACCATGAACGTCTCAACCCGATTTGATTGTTGAGGTTGGGCCAAGAATCATTGCAAGGTATAATAATCATTGAATCCAATCTCATACAGCATAATAAAAAACTACATATTTTCGAAAAAATAAGGATAGGTGTAGTTTCGTATCGATATGGCTTTGATATACGCCTCGCATGCTACATCGGCTTAATTAGAAAGTATATTCTTGAAAATTGCATAGGTTTTTATTAATATTGCTTAGTATAGTTTTGTATCGATATGACTTTGATATAACGCCTCTTCCGTAAGCAACCTCAGCTTAATTAGGAAGTATTTCCTTGAAAACTATAGTTTTCCGTCAATATGGCATCTAGGTAGTGCCTCAACCACGAGCGACTTCAGCTTAATTATA